TCAATGATTATAGACCATTATTTGCAGCGCTTTAGTTACTATTACGATAATATTTGTTCGAGTAATTGAAAAGCATTGCATTAATTACGCCTCAAGATATTACAAATGGTAATAGCGTAGCGTATAGCGATTTGACAATAATTATTTATTGTCCAATTACTTTCTTGCTAGTATTGTAAGCTGCATATATATGCAATGCATTATCTTGAATATTAGCCTAAAGAACAAATTTTTTTTGTTAATTTCTCTTTGTGTTTTAAAAATATAAAAATTACATATCCTTAATTAATCTTTTATACTAGAAAAAAAAAAAAAGATTTAAAACTGACCAAGAATTTGTATACTTTATAGGGTCTTCAAAGTTTCTTTCTGCATGTCATAAACGTATTGAAAGAATAATTGAATTTTGATACACTATAATATTGGATAGGCTTAATCAATTTTTTCCACAAGTGCTACAGCATCGCCCACAGAACATACGTGCAAATTTTTTTACATTTATTTGCTATACTTTATTTTTTATTCCTTTCTATGTTTTCGTGGTGCTGTGAGCGTATCCCTCGACCGATTTCACCCATTTTCAATACCGATATGCGTGCACGAATTTCCTATATCTCTGTCCAATTTAAAATCGATAGCTTTATTTTTTGCGGCCAGACATTATACAAAGGGACAGACGGACATGCTTAAATCGATTTAAAATTTGACGCTGATCAAGATTATATATACTTTATGGGGCCATGGGGATGTTTCCTTCTTGGCGTTGCAAACGTTTACGTCCTTCGATGATGGATATAAAAATCAAATTGAACGCTTTGCTTTAAACTATCCATATAGGATGAGTAATCACGTAACAAACCCTTTCGCAACATCTCTTCAAGATAAATCCAATAAAATAAAACGTATTATATAAAATTAAATTATTTTTCTTAAGATAATGCAATGAAATTTCTCCGTTTATACCGTGCGCATTTATTTATTTATTTGCGTTGTTCCACTGTCGATGGGCGATAACTTCTGCACTTTGGCATAATATTTTTTATTCATTATCTTTATTGGATAAATTGGAAGTAAAAAAAAAGAAGCCTTATTGCCGAAACCCGGGATTGAACCGGGGACTTTAGATCTTCAGTCTAACGCTCTCCCAACTGAGCTATTTCGGCACATGTAAGGTTTCTCGTAGAAGACGTATTCAAAGTAAAAAGTCATTGAATTATGTATATTAGATGAATAGCATTTAGTTTGAATTGAATTTTTTTATATATGCAAATAAACTTATTTTTATCCAGTATTTCTTTTTGTGCTTTTTATTTGTCCAATTGATTCATTGCTTTCCTTTATGAATGTATATAGGGATATATATCTAGATAACGATTTGGATCGCGACGAGTCGTTTTGAATTCGACATATTTTGAAAATTACGCTATGTTTAAAAATGAGAAACTGAGATTACTCAAAATGTCTCCACGTGTGAATATGTATGTAAACAAACAAAAACATCTTAAGCGTTACATACAGATATTCATACTCTGTACATACTTCAAAAACTTCTTTTAACACGTCCTTGCTTCACGTAAACTTTCTTACACCATCTGAGACTTACATTCATATACTTGAACCAATATATGGTCTTTTTGCAATTACGAGCGAACTGTTGTTTCGATCTAAGTTGAATACAAATGTAAAAAATTGTAAGGCGCTCGTTTTCGGAATAAAGGGGATATTATAAGTATATGTGCAGTTTATTGAGGACGAGAGACAAAGCTTTTTAGTTATAAGCATGCTTTGATCAGACTGCTCGGCCCACACATCTACTTAAATCGATCCCGTTAATTAATAATATATCTTAATGCAATATACATCTCTTAGTTCTATCGATTAGACCTGTTTAATATATCTTATACATCCCCAGATTCCATTACAAATACATTTTATTAACTAACATAGTAGAGATAGGCTAATTGAAAAGATTTCTGACCTGAAATTTTTCAAAGGCTTCGGGGAATATTTGTATTAAATTTTTAATCAATATCCTCTATAAATTATATAATAAATTGACGTTATCCCGGTTAGGAAATGATTCAATTTGCTATCCTACCACGTTCGGCTACGAGTAGCAGTTATCAGGGGCTCTATCGTGCACGCTTTAATAATTCCCCTGCGTAGAAGCCAGGCTTTTCAACTTGAGCTATTTGACCATACAGAGTTTGGACATCGCTTATACGATTCAATTTTCTACTTTAATCAGGAATATCAATGACCGATGGCATGCAAAATGTAGCTAGATTAAATAGATTAACTCATAAAAAGTATCGCAGCGATCACTCTATATTTGTATATTTTTTTTACTTCGCAAACGGAACAGCGTTACCTTTTGATGAAAGTTGTGAAATAAGTTCTAATGAATTTAAAGTATATAATGAATTAAATTAAAGAAAAAAAAAACAAGTAAGAAAGCTATACCGGCGAGGGCCGTTTCTCACATACCCACCACTGTACTTTTCGCATTCTATTCGGCAAGTTGTTTTATTCGGTACCCATATCGCTGGCATTATTAAGACAAAATTAATCCCGGTGTCTACCATATTCGCTTAAGAATTAACGCATTGATTCCATTTTTGAACCTAAAGAGTAGAGTGCTTTGTAAAGTAAATGTGGAAAATTTCGCCTTCTAACTTTAATAATTTCCAAGTAACGAGCAAAATTCAAAAAATTTTTGTAAAACAGAACTGAGTTGCGTTCAGTTTACGTTCCACTGTGCGTTTCTGCTCTGACCAATTTAGCCTATTTTCAATATCAACCTACGTGCAGACACTTTCAATGTTTGTACCCAATTCGAAGTCAATATCTTCATTTTGGCGAACAGGAGAGCGCCAACAACATACAGCGCGCAGACACTCAGACGGATAGACATGACTAAATCAATTCAGAATTTCACACCGCTCAAGACAATATGTACTTTATAGGGTCTTTGAAGCTTCCTTTTGGATGTTACATACAAACATTACCGAAAAAAACAAAATGAATTCACCTCCATTTTACAGTGGTGGATATAAAAATAGTGAATAAAGCGAAGAAATTTAAAATTTGTATATATTTTGAAAACAAGTGCTTTTTTTAAATTTGATTAACATATTTGTATATTTGTAGCATGTTTTTTATTTCTCGTATTTCTTTTAAGCTGCAAATTTTTATAATTTGTTTCTAGTAAAATATTTTACAGTTATTTCAATAAATAATAATAACATAATGGAATCATCTTTTCGTTGGATCTCAATGAACAAGCATAGGCATTACTTTTCGCCGTTTAATAAGAATTTGGAAAAAAAAATACTGTTTATATTACTTGTGTGTGTGTGTGTGTCTTTTTTTTTTTTTGTATACACAGGCAAATCTAATACAAATTTGACGTAATCTTCTTTTCTTTTTTCTTAATGAAAACTTCAAAAATCGAACAAATATGGAAAAATTTTTCTTCTTTTCATTTTTTTTTTATGTATTATTTAACAATTGCACATCAAGACTTGTACACTTTTACACTTAAAAGAGTACATCGTCATCTCCCTCATCCAAGATGTTAACTGTTTCGCGTACGTCAATTCCCTTCTTAAGTAGTTCAGCTTTATGTTCATCAGCTTTGGCACGTGCCTGACGCTTTTTATCCTGAATCTTTTTCAAACGATAGAACTCTTCACGTTCCAACTCATCCAACTCAGATATTATATAAGCCAATGTACGATCAATACGAGGTATAATAACTGAAAAATATTTCATTAATTATTTTAAAAGAAAAATATTATAAAAACAAGTTTCGACTATTCAATGTATGTATGCATGTATGTACTTGTGTTGTTGTCCCACCAAAATAATTTGCAACTTTCATATATTGATTTGATGTTTGAGATCTTCTGTGTTAAGTTGGCTAATCTTATATTTATATCGGACCTCGAAGACCCTTAATTTCGGGTTGAATTTGTCTACCGCCAAATATGTCTTGGAAGTCAAGATAGTCCGACAGAGCCTTTCGCTTAGCGGATTTCATCAACTTGAAGGGGAAGTGTTTCACAAAGATAAACATCAGTTAAATCCTTTAACAAGAACTCATCTACCCTAGAACTGCCTGCGTATAGCGCAACACACTATCATAACTTGTCGTTACCCAAAGGGCACTGCCCACCTTTGGAACAATCTGCTTGAACTGAGCATTCTCAACTTGCCATATATTTTCACTTTCAAGTCAAGAAGTTACACAAATACTTCTGTCCTTTTCTATGCCCCCTCCACCACTAATCAATCAAGCTTTCGTAACACCCTCCAACAAGATCGTGCTGGGCCGCATTGCTTCACCTTCCGAGCCCTTGCCTATATAAGAGTTCTCATAACGGTGAGCATTAATGTATAATTTTGGGAATTTTATCCACAACTGTTCGACATGTCTTAAGCGAAAAGTATTGCCAAAAGTAGCGAAACACTTTTTCCTCAAAATCCCCAAGGACAAAAATCGTGCATAAATTCTACTTGACTTTACCACACGCCCAAAAAAAGAAGACAAGACGCCAAGTTTCGTTTAATTAGAAGGTAAGAGTCAAGAAATTCTTGGTTAAAACCGCTTACCGCCAACTACTACAATACTACTCTGTAATTATTGAATTGCTGAAATATTTCGTGTAGATTGAAACCTTTTCGAAAGGAAGCATAAATCCATTGTGATCGCCAATTATAATTTATGAATTTTCCAAAAAAAAAAAAAAACTAGAAAAGTGAAGAAGTGAAAATTTCGCGAAAATTTTTATATAAAGCTTCTCTCCAACCTGTATGGACTAGACAATAGCTTTATAGTTTCAGGAAAATTTTTATATATCAGCGAAGAACACTTTGAATAGAGTATCATGGAAATTAATATGTGGTAATTATGTTAAGCGCCACGCCTTATGCGACCATTGATTTCGATTAGAAAACAACTATTTCCAATGGAAAATGACAAATGAACATATTAAATTTACTTCCTTTCTCTCCCTCAACAAGTTTTGTTTGCCAAAAATTTGTGAGTAAATAGACTTGAGGGTAGTATTATTAGTTGAAAAAGTTTGCAATTACCGTGTTCTATAGCATTAACTCTTCTGTTGGTTATTTTTATAACCTCATCCAATGTAACGAATGAGGTTTGCAGTGAAGCCAACTCGACTAGCAGTTTAACGGCACTTTGATAATTCTTTTTTAATTTGGCCAACTGTTGCCCACCTCTGGCTAAGCCAGCCAATTCATAGGTGTCGGCGCCATCTTGATAAGACTCAAAGACGGGCAATGTCACGCCGGCTACATTATCCTTTTTTGTGCGTATTTTTATTTGAGCTTTAGTCACATTTTGCAAGACTACCTGATTAAAATCGCCTGTAGTGAACTTTGCTTCCGCCAAAGAGAAGGCAGCTTCTTTCATTACTTCGCCCATCAAGGTCTTAGTCTACGTTAGAAATTCATTTCAAGCGATATGGGATCTATTATAAAACCCAACATTTACAGTTACTAACCTCTATGATTTTACCCAAAATCATACGAAAACGCATTTGTAGGGCGTCCGCTTTTTTCTTAAGTAAACCATGACCCTTTTGTGCTCCAGCTAAACGGGATTTCATCAACATTTGAGCACTTGATATGGGAAAAATCGTTTTTAACTTTAAATTTAATTAAATATATAATACCTAAGATAAATCAGACTTACCCTCGCGATGGGAATATTGGTAATCTATCTTTGCCCGACATAATATTTCTTTTCTTGAACTTATGCTTAATTAATTTTTTTAGTTAAAAAATGAAAATTTTTATCTATTTAGACAATGAAATTTATGTACGCAACGAAAAACTTTTTCTTTCGAGGTCAGCTGACTTGTCTTGTGACTATCACGTCAAAATGAAATAATGTTTCGTTAAGTGCGTGAAGTTGACAACGAAATTTTACAATCTCTTTGATATTATGAAAGAGAAAAGGTTTAGCTTGCATTTATTACGGTTAGTTAATACAATTTTCTGTACAATCAGCGCAAATGCGAAACACAAGCTGGACCGGAATTTTGCTTTTATTTTTAAAGGTAAAAAATTTATTTTTCGTACTTTTTAATATTATCTATATATTATGTAAGTAAATTTACAAGGTATGCATTTAAAGGGTATCAGATAACTTATATTATATTGCTTCCGCCTGTATTGAACCGCATTTGAGATTTGAGAACCAGTGACGATTGATTTACTAGTCGCGATCTTTTGCCTACTCGGCTACTCATCCCGATCACAGTTTTTAATATTAAACTTCTTTTTATATATATCCGTGTATTTGATCGATTGTGCAGTTTTTAATATAATGAAAACGCACCATTAAACTTTCAGTTCCAAAAGTTCCAACAATTTTTGGTGACTTTTTTGTTTTTATGAAAAAGCCTTAAATACTTATAATCGATTTTTTCTGCCTGGCCTAGTTTACGAATTGTCGCCAATCTATTTCTCTCTCTTTGTCGAATTGCTTCAATTTCCAAAACGACGATAGGAAACTGAAATTTAGTGCAAAAAATTCCTCGATCGGCGAAAAAACCACATAAACCATATATAAATAGCTATAAAATGGATGCAGTCTGCCGACATGCACATTGTCTGAGATTTGCTGTTACTGCTTTTATTAGTGCTTTGTTTATTCATTTGGAATAAATTGGAAATTAATTAGAATACAAATTTTATCGTTAACTATGGACTTGCTAGTAAACTGATCGGCAGTATTTTTCGCTAGCCTTGACTTGTTGACACTTTTTCGGATATACTTTCAGGGGGTCAAAAGTTCTACACGAACATAAAAAAAAGAAATGTTTTCTCAACCTTGCATTATTTGTTTGCGTATTTTTTCTTGGCGTTTCTATAAGCAGATCACGCTCAGTTTTTAATCTTGTTCCTTCTATTGATCAAGCAATGTTCGTACCGAATTTAGGTTTCCCGTCTTTATTTTTGCAACTATAACCATTTCAAAAAGAAGAGAATGAAAGTGCTCCCATTTAGTAGAAATAGGTACGGTCTATGCAATAAGTCGGTGGTTCTAGTGTTAACTCTCAAAATTAATTTAGTATAACTAATATTAATCTACGTCAGCAGTAAAGTCAAGAACACGCTCCGTCATCTTCCTCCTAAATTTTTAGACTTATTCAAGCAACTGGTTAAATATTTTATTGGGCCATTGGGTATCACGGTGAATGGCCCTAATTTTGGTTCATAACAGAATATTATCTCTTCCACCTTCGGATTCTTTTATATTATTTAGTCCTGTTGTTTTATGCGTAACACATGACTTTATATTTAATTCTTGATATCCGTTCTAATCCGAGGCGAACATATATCGGAATTTAATTTTCACTTCCACGCGTCTAACATCATTAACCTAACAAAGTTTCTTTTTGAAAACTTGGTTTACTCATGTCAAGAGAATATTACCCGACGAATCTGAATTTAATGTAGAAATTATTTACGCGTTTTCTTCATACTAACAATACGCACACACATATATATGAAAAAAATCGTATGTGAAATAATAATTTTGCAAAACATTTGAGCTTGGTCTTCACATGAGGACGATTCCCTGAATTAGCGAAAATGTATTTGAAAAATCTGCATTTAAAAACATAATTTAAGTTCATGATTAAATCCAATAGGGGGAAACCCGATATGTGTGTGTGTTTTACTGAAGTCATCATCTTTGCAAAACAAATGAGAAATTCTTCTGCTTCGTCTTTTACGAGTTATAGTTCCATGCGAACACGTAATTCTTTACTCGAAACTTAGTAAAGTTGGCGGTTAGCTTGATTGTAGACGTACATACATACACTACATGTGCGAGGTGTGTGTTCAAAACAAGAAGTGACTTTTGATTTTTCTTAAAAAAATATTTATTTATTCATCAATATTTATTTTGTCTCTTTCAAAATACTCGCTCTTCTAGCGATGCGGTCTTTATATCACTAATCGTGACAAAAGTCCTCCTCCTCCTTTCATGTGTCTTTACAGTTTTGGGAACAGACAAAATGTGCATATGATCAAGATCGATGAATACGGTGGCTAAGGCATGATTACGGTGTTGTTTTTGATCAAAATATTGCATTACAAACAAGCAATGACGTGATGAGCTGGCGCATTATCGTGCTACACGTATCATGTCTAAAATATTCGAAAAAATTGAATGACATGAGCCAACCGATATGCTGGCATCCTCAGCATCCTCAGTGTTGCAATGATTTTTCATAATCACTTTTTCAATGTTTTCATCGGCTGAATCGGCTTTGCTCTTACTAGAAAGTGTACGTGAAGACGGGGGAGGGGAGGGGTGGGTGAGCACGACCATATAATGTGTCTTCATCTAGCAATCATGAATCAATCAGTTCCGATGCTATGACAGGCCCGTCTTCAACCAGCTTGTCATTGGGTCCCGGCGAGTTAAGTCTTGGCTTTCTGCTAAGCGAACAATTGAAAGGACATGGAACAAGCTCGCAATTTTTCGGTGCCAATAGGACACACAGATACAAAAATTTCAGGGAATATTGTGCTTGTGGCCGAGAGAGTCCGAGATAAACTTTCGCATATATGCCGATTATATGCACTTTTCAAAAGATTTCCACGACTACTTTGTAATAGCTTTTTGGACATTGCCGTCGCGCAAATAGAAAAGTTAAAGTTTTCAATTATCCCAGCTATCAAGCTATCAGTAGAATGTCTGGATTACATTTATATATTTTCAGCATCATCTAGGCGCACACACGCATCAGAAGGTAAATATGTACGTAAACACATTCGCACACACATGCAAAAACAATTTTTCTAAACAACAATAAGCCAGCAGACGCAACAGCTTCCATATGCACATGCTCTTTACAGATGACGAAAACAACAAAATACAAAAAGAAAAAACACTCAACCAAAAACAAAACATCATTCATATATATTTGCGTGTATACAGATACTAACACTATGACAATAAAACGTAAACTAGTGTCTTTAGGTTAGCATCCCTCAAGTCATTACTTATTGAATGGCTGGCGTGGCGTTATGCTTATGGTGTTATTGCGATTTTTTATTTTTGTGAAAAATCAAATTAAAAGAAATTGTTGTACATAAGTTTCAGTATTTTCTCAATTTTCAAAGGAAACGGTTTAAAAGTGATGTTTAAATAAAAATACGAAAAAAAAAAAAACTTTTTAAAAAGATACCCACAAAAAAAAAAAAAACAAAAAACAAAAAAAGAAGAGAAACATTAAACGCTGAAGCTACTAAGGATTCCAAATTTTTTTTTGTTTTTATAGTGAAGCAATAGGAAAAAAAAAAAATGTAAAATTATATTTCAAATAAAAATAACAAAAATTTCTCTATATATTTTCTCTTGTGATATTTTAAAATTTTGTTAAACATTGCAGGGAATATAGATAAGCTTGTATGTGTATATGCGTTGCTTATAAGCTTTACGTATGAGCTTTGCTAAGCGTTCGAATAAGGGCATTTTTCTTTACTACAGGTGGTTGTTGTTATCAGAAACTAGTGTTCTTCGTCTTAGGATGCTTAAGTGTATGGAAAAGATTTTAATTTTCTTCAAAAAGAATAACAACAACAAGAACAAAAATACCTCAAGGGCTAAATAAAACTCAAAAACAAATAAACACACCCACAATACCCATACACTTATATATTATATATATATATATGTATATATATTATGGTTATATATATATATATATATACATATATGCATATATTTTGTGTGCATTCTAAAATCGATAAAAATGACTCCTTTATATAACATATTTGCAGGATGAATAATCAAAAAGGACTAAATGTATGTATGTTTAAATAATGGTCACAATAGATCTTCTGTTTTGAAATGAATTAGTCGTTAACGTTTAATCCAAAGCGACAGATAGATTTTCCAAAGCAAGGAACCAATATTGAAGCAAAACAGATAGATTGACATAGATAGTGGCGGATAATGAGTTATAGAGTATGGTAGATGACGATCGATGATCTATACCTTATGCAGATTATGCATACACGAGCTCACTCGTAACTCGTAGATCTATTATTTCGTAGCATGCTTCTAGGTAGAAATACAGCTACAGCTAAACGAATAGATAAATAGAAACTAGAAACAAAACCTAATAAACCTAATTATTTGTGTACCCTATCTTTCTATGCAAAGTAAGTTGAGCTTAAGTTTTGTGGTTTCTTGCGGCTCGTTAGACGTCAAAACGTGATTGTTGATTCATTTAGGACTCAGACATGTTTGCCCAAATTGTCTGACATTAAACAAACCGATTAAAGTTCTTGCCAGTTTAACATACTCGGAGAGATGTCGTGTAAGAATTTTTATGATATCTTATCTGTAAATGAGCTCAACGTAGAGGAATTACATATTCTACTATCATACAAACTATGTAAGATACATTGGATTAGCATTTGTAAACAATAAGTAATCTTAAGCGAATATATTTCTGCGTTCCCGTTTACGACGGCGAAACTTTGCACTCCCGTCATGTCAGCTTTACAAAAAAAAAAAAAAAAAAAAAAAAAAAAAAAAAAAAAACTATATATAAATTGAGATGATATTTTCAATTACAATTTCTGCGAGTTAGTGTCTGTCTTTATATATCTTGATAATGATTTTCTTTTGTAACGGCTGGATATGAAGAGAAAGCCATCTTTAATGGATGCAAATACCATAAACATCATGGATTATTGTACTTTTTATGTCGTAATCGAAGAAAGGTCTTATAATATATATATATATATAGAGAAATAAATTCGAAGACTAAGGGCACTTTTAAAGCATTAGTGCTTTAAGGCCATCGGTTTTATTAAAAAACCCTTTAACCCCGTTTGAGATTCGAACCCACAACCATTGAGAGTTGCTAGTCGAAATTCTATGTTACTTCGCCCACTCAGGCGGATGAATATAAGTTTTAACTTGAACATCATTTACGCTTTAAAAGATTTTTCAGAGAACAAAATGTAGAATAATAGGTATTACGGTAAATTATAATTTTAGAAAATACTGGAAACCGAAATTCCGATAGATATTGTTTCCAAATTTTGTTTTCATCAACTGCACAAAGTGCCACACATTAAACCAATAAGTTATACTTATCAATAATGTTGATCAAATCAATGATAAAAAATTATTAGAGTTTGGATGATAACATTTATTAACCAAACATCTTAAGATATTCATTCCGTATTCGTTGAAGTCATCAAGGACATTCGATAGAAAGCGGATGTAACATCCGTAATTATGCCTTACATATACAATAGAATGTGAAGAGACGTTTTTTTTTTGCAGTACGAGGCAAGCGGCATCATCATGTTACAAAATGAACTTTTCTCCTCTTTCATCGACATCGATATAAACCAAACTTGTCTGTCTGTCTTGTATTCTTGTTTTCTCTATTTCAAATGGATCGGATTGGACCACGCTTTCGACCACAGCCTCCGTACAATAATACCTTATTGTAAAAAGTCGTTATCTGAGTAACTGTTTTAAGCGAAGTGGAGTGGAGTATTTAAAGTTTTTATTTTAAGTTTTACTTATTTTTTTAGTAAAATCGGGATTTTTTGAGTCACCTGTTAATAATCCCATTGAGATCGTGCTGTTCATAATACAATAAATCGGCTTAATCTTGTCAAATGTTCGACTTTATCAGCCATGTAAATGTTCCAAGCAGCCTGCGCCATGGTAACTTGGGCTTTAGACAGTCATAATGTACTTACCTCACCCGTCACGCTTTATCAACACTTTCCTTCGCATTCACTAGAAAAATTAACCTTACCCGGCTTAAGTTTCTTCTGCTTGACCTACTGAGAGCTGAAGAATACATCTTTTTACACTCGAGCATAATAATTTAGAATGTTACGTAAAGCTTAAAGTCAATACCTTTGCATTAAGATACCACAACTATAAACTATTAACTTAAACTCTTAACTTAAACTCTGCGGCTCTCAATAAGACCTTGAGATCTCCATATGAAAGTACTAATTATAAACTTTACGGAGCGTATATACATGTATATACATATATATATATATATACATGTATATATATATATGTATACATATATATATATATATGTATATATGGAGAGTATGTAGATTGTCGTGCCTTATTATGCCAAGTCGTCACGATTACGACATACTAAGTTGATGTGGATGTATGCAACATTGTAATGAAATGAAGTCTTTTATTATGCCTACTGATCCAGTATTAGTTTCTAAACCTGATTTAACCATTTCTGTCTATCTGTCCATCTAATAACAGCCCATGCATTTTCGCCCTCAACCTATAGGATACCATTTTTGAAATAATTGATGAAATTTGTCGCACCGGCATACATTGAGCGAAAGAGGGAATGTCATTCAGAATCGGATCAGAAGAACGTTATTCAGAATCGAATCAGGTGCCCATATAAAGCCGTTAAATTCCGAAAATGTCTCATCTGTCTCATCTCAACTGATCGAAATATGCCATACATACTTTAAATGAATGTGGCAAATTTTAATAGGGCGGGACTATTCAATGAATCCCCACCCATTTTAACAAAAGATACGCCCCTTTTCAATATTTTGTGATGAAAACACACACGACAGCGGTTTAACGAATCAATCTAGTGCAGTTATTTCTGATCTATACATAGATATATTTTTCAGATCTCGCCCCATATTCGGTATTCCCACGAACTGTAAGCTTGTATATGACAATAGAGGTCTTAATTTTGATCATTTATGACGAACATAGGTTAAAAATAGTATCATGAAAACTAGCATCGGGTATCTTAGAATTGCCGTTGTCCGAATATAAACAACCATGACTTGCTGACAATCATGGGCGAGTTTGATTTAGCTATCTCCTCGAACATAATATGGAGATTTGATTATTGAGCGAATTTGGTGGAATTTTTTCGATTTTGTTTCACCTTTTGCACGATATATCAACTTAATTGATCGGTTATTTGCGAATCGTATGCGTAGATCCAAGATTCATCTCTCGTAATAATGTGTTTCATTGTGTAACTTTGGATAATATACCCCCAACCCAGCTGAAACATTAATGATTTTTACGATGTGTCATTGGGCCCAGATGTCTGTCAAAAACAATATTTTTTGACATTGACTATACATGTGGAATTTAAGTTGAATATTGGCCTTACTTTTTGAACACAGTATTACTTTAGGAGATTTCCAAAGTCGCCTCACTACGCGCTACAATCGCTTAATAATAATGACGGGTACCGGGTCCTAGTTAACCTTATTTACTATAGAAAGGAAGAAATTGCAATAATTCTAGCTTTATTGGGAAATATTTCTATCCTTTCTATTGTTGTTGATGTTGATGTTGTAGTGTTTGTTTTTATTAAAGATATATACCTATAAGACTATATTTAATTAATCGAATGTCACATGAACCCATTATTATTTAATTTATGCAATACATCGCACAAATATACGTCGACATATTATTGTTATTATTGTTGCTGTTCTTGGTTAATTAGAGAGTACGGCAAATAGTCTAAATATATATATATATATATATATATATATATATATCGCCTATAAACATCTGTACTCATGTATGCAGTTTAAGTGAAGATTTATTGCTAGCAATGACAGTTCGATACACTGAACAAGTAAGAAAATCATACTAATATTAAGACGAATTTTGTTTGTCCATCTTCTTATGAAAATTATAAAATATTTTGTTAATTTAAAGGCGTGTTCATTTTTTAAACGGCTTGAGTGAGTATTTACAAAAACCTTTAATTAATTTTTTTTTTTTTTTTTTTTTTTTTTTGATAAAATGTAAGTCGAAGTAATAGCCTATGTCGGTAAAATTCAATTTTTCCTTTTTTCCTTTAGCAGAAGAATTCATTGCACTACGCTAACAAAATTATAGTAGTAATAATAATAATTATAATAATAATAATAATAATAGAAAATTGTTCCTGTTTTTTATTCCTCCTTTAGCCTACTCTTCCAGTTTTGCTCCTACGATTATAAATTAATTATACATATATGTAACAAGTGTCTCTAATATGTGAATTTGAATTACACATTACACATAGACGGACGGACTTGGTAAAAATGTTTATAAATGTTAAGTTAACCTAAGAACAAACGCATCTCTATTACGTAGGATTTCTGATTTAATATGCTTATGTGTTACAAACCGTAATAATGTATTTAATACACTCGTCTTTTTATTAAAAATATATTCATTTCGTTCTTAATACAAAGTTTGTTTACAAACAACTAGTAAAAGTAACGAAATTAGAACACGACAAAAATAAATTCAACAATTCAACTTGTTGTTGTATTCTTGTTGTTGTTGTTTATTTTCTAATGCAAAATTGTAACAATAATTTTCTGGTGATAATGAATACGAAAAGTAATGAGCACACAAGATGGGCAAGAAACTGAAATTTTTATTCTTTATATGCTATGTATTTTTAAAGATTCGTCATACTATCGACATCTGCAAGGATTTTTTCTTTAATTTTTTTTTTATGTTAAGGGTGCGCCCCATTAACGATTCATTCTAATGATTTGACAATTTCGTCAATTCGCTGTTATGTGACATCCTCTTGCATCAATTACATATCAAAGATATTCGAATTTTACACTTTTCCCGAGCACATCAAGTCATACTTATGGCACCTTTGGATGGCGACAATCCTTTGGATGGCAACTCCAAGGCAGACCTAAAATCACTTTTTAAACGGTTTTAAGCTTGTTAGCCTGTCTGATGTCCCTCCATCTTAACTTGTGTTCAACGTACTTAAAATTTGTGCGAACTAATATGTTTTGGCCCAAGGAAGAGCGCCATTGAATATGGATTAGATTACGTACTTTTTACCATTACTGCCCATATAACGCCTTATCGTGAAATAGTAGCTATGCAATTTTCAAAATTCCTTAACATAAATCGCGAAGTAAGAGTATTTCAGCATTTTAAATTGATATTAGAAACTTGGATCGGACGGGAAAATATATCGAACTTCCTCCCATATAAACGTTAGTAGGAAACCGAAGTGTTTCTTTAAAAAAATGCAGACTCCATAGTAGTGCTTTGACATAATATATTATTATAAGTATATTTGTACCGGATTCGTCCCTGCG